ACAAAGGCTGGTAACAGGGGGATATCTCTCTTGAATGTTATTTTGTAACCATCTAGGTTCAAGGAGGAGGGGGTGCCCCAGCTACAGGAGCCAGCAGGGTCCCTTTGTAGTAGGCATCCGTGTGTTTGGCCAGATGTCCTCCCAGCGGAGGGCAGAGAGGAAGATAAAACAGAACTCTTATTAAAAAGAAGTCAGGGGAGGGGCAAAACAAGACAGAGAAAGTGTGTCAAGTGGAAAGGGAGGCCAGGCAGTGCCATCTGATATTGATTAAATGCTGATAGAGTCAGCAGTGAGAAATACACACAGTGAGGAAGTGCCCCAGCTCTTCGGAATGTGAACCAGTGACAGCTGTCTGGGAGTGGATCTGCACGAATACCACATGCACAAGATGCCTGGCGGCCACAGGGCTAGCTCACAGGGAAGGATGGGAGGGAAAGATGAGTGTGCTGGAGTCAGGACATGTGGCTTCTGATCCTGCTTCCTCTCTCTGGGCCTCTCTTTTCCCATCAATGACACAATGACGCTTGATCTGCACAACCTTCTAGCTCCCAGATTGTGTCATCTACCATAATCTCTGCTCTAACCAAATCCTCTGCGGCTCCACTAAGGTGGAAGCTAAGAAATCATCCTGAAGAGGCGTAAGAAGCTCACCCAGCATGGTCCAAAAATCCCAAAGGAATAACCGCCGCCCATCAGCCGTGGGAGTGCCACCCAGTCCTTCAGCGGGAGGTCAGGCCAGCACCCTGTGTCGGTCGCCCTTCTGTGCTTCACAGTTGCCACCAAAGCAAGTTCATGGTTTCTCAGCATGGAATGTGGCGTGTCTGTGGGTCTACCTATATGTTCCTTTCTCTAAATTTCAAAAGTATTTTTACTCTTATTGGTTGTAAAGAGTCTTTTTTCATTTTATACCGTCAGATTACAGAGAGCTTACGCACTGGTGTGTATGTGTGGCGGGGTGGGGGGAGTGTGGGTGGGTGTGTGCATGCGCACATCCTTTAGTTAAGAGTGCCTTCTTGAAAGTTTGTTGTTTTGGTTTTTTCCTTTTTAGCAAATGCCATGAGGACAGTGGTATTTTAATATAAAGAGTGAGGCTAGATTCCAGTGGGAATGGAAGAGGAAGCTTCCACTGAGATGAAAAGATCTCACACTAGGGTGGTGGCAGGGGAAATGGAGAGGAAAGGATGGCTATAGAGAGGGACCATGGCCTAGTGGGGAGATCGTGGCATCTGGAGTCTGACACAGGTTGGAGTCCTGGTCTGTTCAGCTCTCACTACGATGCCCCCTTGCAGTCCTTTTATGGATTAGAGATGCTGTGTGTAAGGGACCTAGCTCAGAACCTGGCACACTGTAGGCAGTAACTGAACATCAGTAAACTGTAGATGATGATGATCATGTTGAAAAATAGCCCACTGGAGGATTAACAAGACCTGGTGACTGAATTGGAGAATAAGTACAAGAGAAGAAATGATGGTGTCTTTGAGTTTAACCACCTGAGGAATTGGGGTAGTAATAGTAGTTAAGTTGAGTACAATAAGAAAAGTTGGGTGGAAGTTGGAGATCTGGTTTGGCAGGGCTAGAAATGAAGTCAGTTTTAGACATAAGAGATGGTGCTGAGATATACAGGTGGCTATAAGGAAGTAAGACAGAAAGGAAAGAGAGGGGGAAAATGGAAAAATTATAATAAAGAAGTTGATTTACTCTAGGTATGTTTGATCAGTGAGTCTAATTTTACAGCTTCACCTTCAAGGGATTGGTTAACCAAAGGTCAATTCATCATGACCAGCTTCTAAACTAAACCCTTGCTCCTTGAAGTGTGGTCCTCAGACCAGTTGTCACCTAGACCTTACAGAAATGCAGAATCTTAGCTCCTCCCTCAGACCCACTGAATTGGAACCTGCATTTCAACAATGTGATGTGTAAGCACTTTAAAGTTTGAGAAACATTGTTCTGAAGTGTGGTCCCCAGACCACAGCATCATCAGCATCAGCATCACCTGGGAACTTCTTAGAAATCCAAATTCTTGGCCAGGCATGGTGGCTCATGCCTGTAATCCCAGCACTTTGGGAGGCCGAGGCAGCGAGGCAGGTGGATCACTTGAGGTCAGGAGTTTGTGACCAGCCTGGCCAACATGGTGAAACCCCGTTTCTACTAAAAATACAAAAAGTAGCCAGGCGTAGTGGCGGGCACCTGTAATCCCAGCTACTTGGGAGGCTGAGGCAGGAGAATCACTTGAACCCTGGAGGCAGAGGTTGCAGCGAGCCAAGATCGTGCCACTGCACTCCAGCAGAGCAAAACTCCATCTCAAAAAAAAAAAAAAAAAAAAAAAAAAAAGGAAATTCACATTCTCAGTTCCCTTCTCAGACCTCCTGAATTAGAAACAATGTGTTTTAATGAGTGCTTCAGGTGACTCTGATGCACCCCAAAGTTTGAGAAGCACTGCTCTAAGTCATGAAATTGACAGATGCACCTCCTCCCTTTGTGTCTACAGCCAGAGAGATGTGCTGAACACCAGAGGGATTGGTTGAACCCTGAAAGCTAAATTTAAGTCATTGTTATATGCTGTTTCTCTCATCATTTTGCATTAAACACAGCTGAAGAGCTCTTTTCACTGAAGAAGGGCACTATGCGTAAAATTACAAACCAAAGGAGAGAAACTTCGACTGTGGCTTAATCCTCATGACTTACCCATCAAAAGTTATTGAGCACAGTTATAGGAGATCAGTCCTCTTTATGTGCTGTTGCTCCTGGGGGACGCTATTAGTAAGACACACATAGGGAAACAGGTCGGGGAAACAGGGAATCTCCTGATATTCCTTACAATGTGATTTTTACATTAAAACATCCACAGTCTTTGTCTTGTGTGTCTTTCTAATCTATCAGATGGAAATTCTCGTTTTAAAGGTTAGTTTCTGGAGTCACTTGCAGCAGTGATGCTGGTTTACCGCTCAGACAAGAATGTTTTTCCAAAACTTGAACTTTTAGCAGTAAAAATTTACCTCCTCTCATCAAAAGTGTCTGGTTTTTCTATTTGTTCTACAGTCATTATTCAAATCACTATGATAACATATATAAGTGTCAGTGTCTGTTTCTTGTATACATGTAATATGCAAACTTTGTTATATATTGGGCAGTTAATTATAAGATTACTTGTATTTTCTGCCATAGGTTATAATACATTACAACCGGTGGCATGCTGGTAAACTAGTTGTTTGCGGCCAGCGAATGGGGGTCATCCTAATTTGTAGTGTTTGCCAATTTCTATGGTGTAAATGGTCCCTGCAAGGCGGATTTCAAGCTACCAACAGTTTCACAACCAGCTCTCAAAATTCTTACAAATTTAACAATTGGCTCTTACAAGCCAGTAGAACCAACTTCAGCATGCCACTGAAACAAACATCAAGGGACCAATCAATAGGATTTTTTTGTTGTATTTGAATTGCTGTAGTCTAATAATGTCTGAAATAAGTAAATTTGAATGTTTAAATATTTTGTCATATAGAGATTTTTACTGAACTTATCATTGTAATTATCATAGTGGAATTTGATTTGAAACTACAGTCGTGTGCCACATAGCATTCCAGTCAACAATGGACTGCATAGATGATGGCAGTCCCATAGGATTATAAAACTGTATTTTTATTGTACCTTTTCTATATTTAGATACACAAATACTTACCATTGTGTTAAAGTTGCCAAAAATAAAGTTGCCTGTCAGTAGAGTAACATGCTGTACAGGTTTGAGCCTGGGTGCAACAGGCCATACCATGTAGCCTAGGTGTGTAGTAGTCTATATCAGAGGTCCCCAACCCCCAGGGCCATGGACTGGTTACCTGTTAGGAACTGGGCTGCATAGCAGGAGGTGAGCAGCAGGCGAGTGAGTGAAGCATCATCTGTATTTACATCCATTTCCCATCACTTGCATGACCACCCGAGCTCCGCCTCCTGTCAGATCAGCAGCGGCATTAGATTCTCATAGAAGCGCGAATCGTGTTGTGAACTGTGCATGCGAGGGATCTAGGTTGTGCCCTCCTTATAAGAATCTGATGCCTGTGATCTGTCAGTGTCTCCCATTACACCCATACGGGACCATCTGTTGACAGGAAAACAAGCTCAGGGCTCCCACTGTTTCTACATTATGGTGAGTTGTATAATTTTTTCATTATATATTACAATGTAATAATAATAGAAATAAAGTACACAATAAATGGAATGCATTTGAATCATCCCGAAACCATCCCTACCCCTACTCTGGTCCATGGAAAAATTGGGGAAGAAGATGGGGACCGCTGGTCTATACCATCTAGGTTTGTGTAAGTACACTCTAGGACAGTGGTCCCCAACCTTTTTGGAACCAGGGACCAGTTTCATGGAAGATAATTTTTCCATGGATGGACAGGGGGCGGGAGATGGTTTCAGGATGAAATTGTTCCACCTCAGATCATCAGGCATTAGTCAGATTCTCATAAGGAGCACGCACCCTAGATCCCTCGCATGTGCAGTTCACAATAGGGTTCGCGCCCTTAAGAGAATCTAATGCTGCCGCAGATCTGACAGGAGGCAGGGCTCAGGTGGTCACGCTGGCTCACCTGCCACTCAACTCCTGCTGTGCAGCCAGTTCCTAACAGGCCACCAGACTGGTACCAGTCCATGGCCTGGGAATTAGGGACCCCTGCTCTAGGATGTTCACACAGTGATGAAATTGCCTAATGATGCCATTCTCAGACTGTATTCCCATTAAATGATGCATGACTGTATTCTGTGAAACAAAGTTATGTGCAATTATTTTAAAGTCATATTAAATACAGCTATAACAATAGAATGGTAATATTAAAGTACTTATGTTGCTCAAGCAGTATGTTTACTGTCACAATAGTTCTCATAGCATAGTAAGGCATATGTAAAAATTATTCTTAGTCCCAGTATTTGAACCAAAATGCAAAAAGATGTATTTTTAAATGACATCTTTGCTTACTGTTATTAAAATTTGACTTCTCTTACAGGTATTCAGGAAGGAACACAATGTACCAAATGTAAAAATAACTGGGCGCTGAAGTTCTCTATCATATTATTATACATTTTGTGTGCCTTGCTAACAATCACAGTAGCCATTTTGGGATATAAAGGTAAGTATGCTTTCTTTTTTTTCTTCCAAATAACAAGTGTTCCTTCATTAAGTTAAGCATGAGAAAATTCATATTTGCAAGTATGAGGTATTTCATTCATACAACTCAGATGCAAAATAGCAACGTGATAAACTTCATCTCTGTATCTTGAACTTACAGCTATGAGATCTGAAAAGGGGGACATAATAATTCCTTTTGACTCATTTCAGCAATAATCAGGGTCCTCTCTGAGAGTTATAATGTTTTTTTTTCCCTTGTTGCTTTTTCCTACCTATTTCTAGCTACTCCTTCTTCCTCTATTTTTTTTTCATCTTATCTCTTGGAGGCTTTATGGAAACCCTGGTGTCAGCACACAGGAAAACTATATTGACAGAAAATAAGCAAAACACAAGATCTCCAGAGATACAACATGCTTCACCCAGGGATTGGCCAACTAATTCCCTTTTTTCTCTTCAGCACATTCACTGTGGTCACTGTTGTTTATATAGCTCTATAAAAATACTGCACTGTAGAAATTAAGCACAGAGGCAGCACTCCCACCTCAACCCACTTTATAGGATGTTGGGCCTAAACATATCTGGTTTAGGGTAAGGGCAGGATTTTTGCCTGAATCCTCCAGACTTGCAGACACAGTAAGTTCCCCACGCACCTTTCAGAGACCATAGGTAGAAGGTGTCGTGATTCAGAATCGCAAAAGTACATAAGCCCTTTTCTAGAAAACAGCCAGGCGAACCTTCCTGTCAAAAACACGAGAGGCAAACACGGCCATTTTGTTTCAGAACAGAGGCCGACGGAGAGTCTGTGGATCATCAGGTCTTCCTTCTGCTCTGTGGCCCGCAGACTGACCTAGGAAAAGAAAGATTCCAAGTGAATTCCCTCCAGCTGGTCATTCCTCCCACCTCTCTCCCAGCATGCAGCAGTTTCCTGAGAAAGCACAGTGTGTATTGGAATGAGATGGGTGTCAGGGCCAGACAGTCCAGGTTCAAGCCTTGATCCTACCATTTGTCATACAATTGTGAATGTTCAGTAAGTGCTTGCTAGTGTGCCAGGGGCCATGCTGAGTCTTCCACATGGCTCCATACCCAGGTATGAATCATACCCTCTTAGAGTTTCTGATTTCTTATCTGTAAGATGGCAATAATAATGCTACCTGTCAAAGTGATTGGGATGAGCAAAGATGATGTAATTGAAGTATCTGTCCTGTGCCTGGTCCCAGGAAATCATATCTGTGTCTCTGTTCCTTGCTTCTTCCTAACCACATTACACAGATCTAGCCATTAGAATGGCAAAACCTGTTAAAAATCCTCAGTATAGTCGAGGCTTTTAGTCCCATCTCTAAGGCCATATACGTGGAAAATAATGTGCATCACTGGGTGTGTTGACTGATTAGTCTGGGCAATGGAAATCTGGAAAATTACCAGGTCATTCTATCCATTTGTGATGAGTTAGACCGTGATCTAACCCGGAGCATCTTAAGTTTTTAGATGAAGCAGCAAACAGAGTAAGTGATTAAGGAAGGCTATTAAATCATGATTAGCCCTGGGCAGAGAGGTGGAGTGGGAACCTGGTGAGAGAAAGGAGGGTTTTCCATGTCCCAGGTAATCTGGACTATTTCTCTTCCTGTCGTTTAGATTATTTAGGTCATTACTCACTTCTCCATGACTTTTCCTAGTGAGTCAAGATAAAGGAGAAGCTTGAAGTCAAACAGCCATTTAATAAGTACCTTTAAGTCTCAGTACTATGTAATCACATTTACTGCTAAAAGAGAGACGAGAGTGGTTTGGCAAATATATTAACATTTTGTAATTTTTACCTCTGCTAGGAAATAAAGTCTAGGACATTTATGCATTCAGAATTTTACAAAAAGAGTCAAAGAAGAGGCTTCCCCCCCACCTTTTTTTTTCTGTTTGTTTGTTAAGGTACAGATATTTCCTCCCTTTTTATCCGTGGAAAGCCCGTCCTGGCTCTGGCATGTTTAGCGTGTGCTGGTCCGTTTGCCCACAGCACCTTTTCTCTGCTCTCCAGCTAAAGTGCCTCCCTCCTACCCTTCATGTCTCATGTAGACACATGGCAGCTCCCGAAAGCTGAATTAGGCCCCTTCCTGTTTGTTCCCATAGCACCCAGTATTTACTCTTAGCTCCTGTCACACTGTGTCATTAGAGTCAATGGACTTGAGTGTGTCACCACCCAAACTATAAGTTTCCATGAAGACAAGAGACTACCTTTTATTTATTGTGTCTCCCACCAGCACCTAGTCTCATGATATTTAACCAGTGCCTAGGAAAGTTCACTGGATGAATTAATGGGAGGATGGATGGATGGATGGATGGATGGATGGATGGATGGATGGATTGTGCATTAGGGCTGCCTTCCATGAAGGCAAACAATAGATGCTCAGGGACCTCTAGGCCAATCTGCAGGTAGGGGATAGCTGCCCTAAAAGCCCTCCCTGGAAACCTAATGTTTTGGAGATTGGCTTGGCCTGCTCTGTGGGGGCAGTCTCACCAAGATGAAGGAAGAAGAGATAATGGGGAGCAAGTACAAGGGGAGACGAGATGATGTCTTGCCCCTCTTTTCTTTCCTTCGGTGCCTCCCTCCTTCAGGCCTCTGCTGACAAAAAAATAAATAAATAAAATAATACAACATGCACTTTTGCTTTCCAAACACAGCATTAATGAACTAAAATGTTGATATTTTCCAGATGTGCTTTCTCTTTACTCACACAGTGACTCCTCTTTCTTGCTGGTAAGATTCTAGTGACCCAATGTTGTAAGAGGCAGAAAGATAAGACCCAGTTCTCCCTTCACACATTCCCCCTTTGAAGTCTAGAGAAACTCTCTCTGTTAAAAAAGAAAGAAAAGAATATTCAATGAAAGAAGCGCAATAAGGCATTCCTCTGGAGGAGAATTTGAAAGTAAAAACTTTCATTTATCAGAGTTGGCAAAGGCAACTTCATACTGTTTTGCTCAAAATTGTTCTTTACTTCTTTCATGTTACTTCCATAGCCACAAGTTAGAATACAATGAGCTTCCTTCAAGAGAATTTGCTGAAGAAGCCAGAGAATCGCTTAGTCACCCAGACAGGATCTGTGCAGTGGTCGTGACTGTGAGGCACATCAGCCACTTTGCAGAAAACATGTTCTTGGACAGTTAAGCTTGGTACATCCTCTGCCCTGGGCTTTTTATCATTAGTCAACAGAGCTTCCATAGCAGGAGTCATCTCTTAAGTTCAACGGGTCGTGTTTCTTCCAGAATATTTCCTGAACAGGAAAATCCTACTCCATTATCCTTTCCAAGAGGCAGCCTTCTAAAAGTAATTAGGATAAAGAAAAAAGACAGAAATCTGAATCCTTCTCAATAAGGATCTCCTTTAATTCAACATTCCTAGTCATTGGTAGTCTACTTTGCTGCTAAGCTGGGTCAGTGTAGAAATTTACAATTGGATTACTATTTAGGCTTTCAAAGTACACATCAAATCACACTGGAGAGCGCTTTAGGATCCAGGATAACACCCTATAATCAGATTTTCTGTATTTCTGTAAGGAAACCTAAAATGGTGTTCAAGGTAGAAATGCCTTCATTAAATTCCAGGGGAGTGTAACTGATGTTACTGGGAAACCCCAGGTCCCGGAGAGAAGTATTTATCCCACAGTGCCATGATCAGTCTGGTACAAACACGTGTGGGCACCAGCTAGGAGCTCTGTGCTCTGTCCTCAGGGCCAAGAGCATGGCCCGTGTCTCTTGAATCCTCAATATCTAGCACTATGCCACCTACATGGCAGATGCTTCGTAAATGTCTGGTGATGTTAACTTTAAAGAGAATATAAAGAGAAATAATTCTTCCCCTTAAGGGATTCTTTATTGGAGGAAACCAGATTTAAGAAAAAGAAATACCAAAAGAGAGGTGATATGGATTTATAGAAAGAGCATGGATTGTGGAGTTAAACCTTCCAGCCTGGTATCCCACATAGTCACTGACAAGCTGTGTGATTTTTAGCAAGTTACTGAACATCTCTGAGCCTCAGGGTCTTCATCTGCAAAACAGCAGTTGGAAGGATTAGCTGCAGTGATGGTGCAGTGCATCCGGCAGAGAGCAGGCACTCGATAGATAGAGGCTGTTATGATTATCATTCAAATAGAGATCGAGTTGGTGTGCAGTGGAATCAAGTTGTAGGTGTGGCTGAGTACAATGGGGTAGTGAGATGTGGAGTGGACCTTCAAGGAGAAGTGGAGTCAAGAGAAGGGAAGAAGAAGTTAGTGGCCCAGGCCAAGGGATGCTACCGAAGTGCTTTTATAAAAAAGGTTTTATTGTCAGAGTGTCCTAGAGAATTATACTTTGGATACTTGAAGAGGGACAAATCTTCAGGTATAATACCTGAAACACCAATATTCTGTAGAAAAATTCTACCTTAAGAAACAGTTCCCAATACAGGAGAGCACATAAGAAATCAGACTGATGGTCACCCTTCTGTGTGTCCTGCTCATTTTTCTCATATGAGAATGGTCTACAAACTGAGGTCTATGTCTGCAGGCTGGGAATTTCCAGGGTAGTATAGGATGGCTCTGCGACTATATTCCTGATTGAGAATTGGTGCTAATAAATTCAGAATAAAAGCCAATAAAAGTGCTATGTGCTGTTACAGCAAGGGTAAGTTCTGGATCTCCACCAGTCTGGTATTTTTATGCAGTAGCAGGTTCCAGCATTGCAATCCTAACATTTCCAGCTTTATACCAGGTCCTATTTTTAAACAAAGACACACACCCCCCAATGCATGTAAGCTGTTTATTAGCACTTGTGGGCGGGGAAAATAGTTTCCTTGCTGCACAGAAGAAAAAGTCAACAGATTGTTTTGTTCTTTTTTTAACAAATGTATTTATCCCTTTTGTATTTATTCTACACAAACCTGAATTATCTGCCCGTGACAGTTCTCTGTTTTTCAAAACTAAAATGGAAGAAAAAGTAGAAAAGGTAGAAAATAACTGACTGTCGGCCGGGCGCGGTGGCTCAAGCCTGTAATCCCAGCACTTTGGGAGGCCGAGACGGGTGGATCACGAGGTCAGGAGATCGAGACCATCCTGG